GCTCTTCAATATCAAAAAGAAATCGCATATGCCGGTGATAATGGCGGGAAGATAGTTGTTAACTGAAAAGTTTCTCTGCTGCATTGCATTCTATTCAAATTGTGTTTTAATACAATGTGTTACACATCTGCACAAACATTGCTGCCTACTTGCTGATACAGCCAACTCTCCAGATCGTCTTTCCTGGCCATTTCTCTGGATATATGGCAACTTATAGCAGCATAGCTGAACCAACCTCTTCAGATGCGTTTTGGAAAAGGAAAAACTTTTTTTACCGTTGTGTACCACGAAATCCTGATGCCCATCGTGGTCTTCTCACGGCATTATCGCTGTCAATATAACGACGACACATTCCAAAGTCTAGAAGGAATATACGTCGCACATCATCCACGCATATGCAAAAGTTTGCTGGTTTGAGATCTCTATGCAGATACCTAAACTATTTTCATAAATTAGCATTCTTTAACATGCAAACGGTGCTTACCCGACGTTATGCAGCTCCTGAACTGCTTCCAAACATTGTATTCCAACAGATATCGCACATCCCATTGAAAAAGCGTTATCCTTTATTTTGTTATTCTTTCGTAATTCCTACAGAAACCATTGGAAGAGTTTTGAGATTATCAAAGCAGCCGATTGATGAACATCAGCATACTCGCAAATATATTTCAAAACAAAACTCAAGGCAAAATGCATTTTCAAGCGCTTTGCGCCCTTTACCGCAACCACGTTGACAGTAAGTTCAATTCGGTTCACAACCCTTCGTTGCAACATTTTCTTTTGTAACGAGCATTTTTTGAGACTAACCCCAGTTCTACACTTTTGGCTGTCGTTGCACTAGGTCTCTCAAAAGTAGTCGTGACATATGCGTAGTTTTCATCAAAGTCTGTATCATAACGAAGATCTTATCCTTACAAGATAATACAACGACGACAAAGATAGTATTTTTTGATGACATTGAACCTTCTCATTTAACCTAGCTTTCATATGCATGTTATGAAGCATTTTCGGAGAAAATGGATGACAGCTCACTACCAGCTTTTAAGCAAAAAAACAGAACAGAATTTCAGAAATTCGGCTATAGAGCTATAGATGGAGAGCAAACTTGAAATGTAAATAATAGTTTGTGGACATTATCATAACATCCGTATTTCATAATATTACTATAGTTGGCAGCCTTTGAATGCTCAGCACATAAAACAGAACTGAAATGATC